CCAAATAAGCACGCAGAATAGCTGGAAAATATTTTCATAAGAGCGAGGCAGAACACGAGCATACTAGCACTTCAGAGAGGGAGCTCAGGTCTGGTTGGCTTGGAGAACTTGAGAAAGTAAGTAATTTTTTGAGGAGATGGCGAAATCGGCTAAGCAGTGCTTAGAATGTATGGTAATGTGATGTTCTTTCCAAATGGCTGAGCGTTGAGCTGGAATGCATATACCTGCTTGATGTACTTTCTCTTTATGTTTCTTCATTTACACCCCTCCAGCAGCACACACCACCCCCTCTCTCACACTCTCCCTCCCTCAAGTGTACTGTCACTGGGCTGAAATCACACCTGTGCTTCTCGCACATCTCGGCACACGGGTGAAACATACGCAGGGTGAAACATGGTGAGGGAGCTTTGCTGAATCTCATTAGCCAAGCAGGTAGTCATTAACAGAATGACCTTTGGAAATAATTACCAGCCTTCCTCCTGCCATCCCTCTTTCCCTCCCTCCTTCTCTTCTCACACTCATCCATCCCTCTGTCCCTCCCGTCCCCCTCTCATTCAATAGCTTTTTTTTTCTGGGTAAGGACAGAGGGAGGGAAAGTGAAAAAAAAAGAGTTGAGGATAGGCAGGGAGTCAGATCCCTGCTGCTGCTGTTTAAGATTACAGGGTGAGCTGAACTTTCAGATTAGGTTAATCTGCTGGAAATGGGATTGGCCAGTGGCCATCCTCTGGCAGGTAGGCAAGCATGCAGGGCACTTCAGTACCAAGAGCCATGTGCTATTCCATGTGATACTTGAGCCAATGGCATCGGAGCGTGTGACCCTGGCTGAGGTCATCACAATGCCATTAGTGCTGCAGGGTTTGAGCCAATTGTCACTGTGTATGTACACACACATACACCCATGCAGTGAGGCCACTGTGAGAGCACACCTACACAGCAAACACATTAGTGTATTTGTGTGTTTAAGCACATATATGCTATAAGTGTGCATAGAGGCACACAAACACTTTTTCATTTGCGGGTTTTTTTGGGTTCTTTTTTTAGGTGTTGAGGCGATATATCTTCAGATCACCACACACTCACTAACCCTTCAGTTGTTTCAAAAACCTGTGTTCTTTGTTTCAACAGCGGGGGAAAACAAGCACATTGTAGAAGAGGGATTTGGCAAAGCCGAAGTGCGTTGTTGGATTTGGGGCTGTTCGATCACAGCAAGACCCAGCCAATGCTTCTTAGGTTTGGGATAGATCTGCAATCATCAGGAGGGGAAGAAAGGACTCTTTCATGTGCTATTGCAATTAACAACCCCCATACCGGAATATAAATCACCAGTAACGGCTCAAAGTGATTGTTCTTAAGCATGAATAAAACCAGCGAAAAAGCGAGTGATGAATCTATTCTATTGTCATTTCCCAACACAGCTTACCATTTCTCCTCTAATGCTGTTCACATGTACAGGAAACTGGCCTGGCAGACAGAGAGTATAGGAAATCTATCTGCATGTTTGACTGTTTTATCCGGAGCCAGACTCAGAGTGTGCTGTAGACCTGCCAGGACGGCACACTTGGAACCTGCACGGACATCAAATGATGGAGGGTCTGCCTCTGTGTTTGCTTTCATCGAGCTACTAGAGAGAGATCAGCTTGGATGTGTTTTTGAACACTTAGCATTAATTAAGTGGACTTCTCCGTATTTTTATGGAAGAGCTACATATTATGTTTTTATTTAATCCAGTCACTGGAGTCTGAGTGGGCTAACAGGTCCTACATGAAATAGGATTAAATTGAAAAGTGTATAAGACTAACTTAAAAAAAAATCCTCACTTTGTTTCTAATTGCTACTCTATTGATTAGTATATGTCTTTCAGTTCATTCAATTTTATTTATATAGCGCCAGTCGCCTCAAGTCGCCTTTATATTATAAGAGAAAGACTACAATAATAGAAAGAAAGGCCCAAACAGTCTAAGAAACCCTTTGAGCAAGCACTTGGTGACAGTGGGAAGGAAAAACTCCCTTTTAACAGGAAGAAACCTCTGTCAGAGCCAGGGAGGGAGGAGCAGGTTGGGGGTGATGGGAGAAAGACAGAATAAAAGACACTGTGCACTGTGAACATAATTTCCATTAGTGATGTCTCTTTTGTTTCACCACTTCTCTCACAGGAGGGTTAGCTTTGGTTTATTGTTCTTTTGCTTTCTCATATATTTGAACAAGTGTTGTTCCTAGATGAAACGGTTTTGCGGTGAGTCATCAGACCTTCTTTACTACTCCTCTCTTTCCTTTTTCGATTTCCTATTTCTGTCTTTCAAATAAATAAACCCACTGACCCAAACATAAATTCTATATAATAATAATAATGAAAAAAAAAAAGAATAGCTTAGCGACTCCAATGAGAAAATAGATACAGAAGAGAAAGGCAGACTAGAGTGAGAGAGGTAGAGAGAAAAGCCCTCCAGCCTCTTGTAAACATGCTGTTGCTAGAGAGGCTGTGCAACGTACTCAGTGCCACTCTCTCAACAACGCTAATTATCAACCAAAGACATGCTAATTACATAGAGCTTTATTGCTAATGTAGCGGGCCTCTATGCCAGCCGCCCACACTCTGAGCTCCGCTCCCCTACCTCTGCCTCTCCTCCCACTACACCTTCAGGCACAGCAGCAACAGAGGAAGAGAGATGCATGCATTTGAGCATAGTGGCAGAGACAAGAGCTTTCTACAAATTTGAAATTAAATCTGACATATATACGACTTCATATTTAAGATTTTCATTTTATTTTTTCGCTTTGTTTTGTTTTGTTACACTTTAAAATCAGCGCCTCATCTTGTGAAGAACCTCCTCTTTTCCTTTTCATCATACTGCCATCTCAAGAGGAAGTCTGCTCTGCTCCTTACTTAAAACTCAACACGCCACCCATGTTACTGCAGCTTTGACGTCGGCACACATGGCTTGTAGGAAAAGATCTGACCATGCTGTTCCCCTTTGTTCCCCCTCCCTCTCTGTACCCCCCCATCACCCCCCCCCCCTCCCTCCCACCCACGCTAAACGTGCTAGTGTCAACCCTGTGGCCAATCCCTTTAGCACACCGCAGCTCAGGCTAAAGGCCTCTTCAGGTCGATTTCTCCCGCTGTGAGTCTCTCAGAGATGGCAGAGCTTCCGTTCTCCAGGGATCACATTATATGTAGTGCTTTATAGCACTCTCCCCCCACCAGGCTCTTTACCATCTCCCCCTGACATGGCTGTTTACACGTTAGCTATCCTCTGCTCTCTAATGGAGACAGTTAGAGAAAGAGCTTCAAAGCAGGGAGCTCTTGTCACAAGCACTAGTTATACATCACTCTCTTCATGGGTTCAGCTGGGGAAGGATAATAAACTGACTACAGAGTGAGTGAAAGACTTGGTGAGCAAAGGACACCTGTGCTGAGAGGCAAACTGGTGATAAAAGTATGCAAAAATTACTAAAGGCATACAATTAAGGAGTATGAAACTCCGGCAATTGATAAGTATTTCTAGTAACATTAAAAAATAAGCTGTGGTTACACACAGTGTTTGACAAAGATCATCATTAGCTAATGCCTAATGCACTTAATGTACAACAGTAGTACAGCATTTCTTACCACATAATTTATTTTGGCTAACTCCAAACATGACATGTAGAAAACGTGGGCAATATGTACATGTACATGTGAACACCAGTTGATGTTAGATGGGCATGAAGCCCAGTAACAGCCATATGGAAAAAGTCTCATACTGTTCTGTCCTGTGTTAGAGTGGCCAACCGCTTCATAATGTTAATGTTTTTATTTATTTATTTTGTGTATCTTCCATGAACATAACCAGGTGACCTATCATTTGCAAGCAAAATATGTTGTGAATCAGTTGTATTCTACAATAACAATTGATTTAAAAATAGGGGATTATATATGGACACAGACTCATTTCTTAACCTCAAAGTCCTAAACAGTATTTATGTAGTATTTACTGTCACAATAGATTGCTCTAAAATTAAAATGGGATACATATTATTCTACTTGTGCTATTGTGTTGGTCGGTGGGTAGAATTGGAAACATCAAACATAAAGAGGATTTTAATTCTGGTTAGCAGGCAAATGTATGGAATTAGCAAATGTTGTAGTAAAATGAGTCTAATTAAATCTGGATTTATATATTTAAGGATTCTGTGTAACAATAAAGACAAAGAGCAGGGATTCTAATGTTCATATATATACATATATGTAATATCCATTCAGGATTGCTTTGTGGGGCAGGCACACTTACATTTGCAAAGCACAGTGTGAGCGTAATTAAGAGAGAGAGCAGGGGAAAGGGATAAACTTCACATGACTGCATTCATGTTTGTGTGTGGCCCACGAGGTCAGAGCTCCAGAGTGAATGTTGCATAACAGATTCACGTTGAAAGCTTAAGGATTCAGGAGGGTGCAAGCGTCATTTCCTGCTTTATCTACCTGCCTAGTGGCGTGGCTGACAGCGCTGTTTAACATCGCCTTGAGCCACTCTAGCGACATGTGTCCAAAGCAAGTCCGATCAACATCCTCCTCTCACAGGCACATCAATGGTGACAAGACACCAAGGGCACAGCGTGGTGATTACACACCACAGGTGACAGTCTAAAAGGCCCAGATCGATGATAGGCTACTTCTTTTATGCTGCAAAGTGCAGGCGACACAAGAAAACAATTTGAATAAACACACTGTCTTGAAATTAATGACTTATTGTGAGTCTTAAAATAAGTTTTTCTAACAGTGATTGATAGTGGTACTGAACCCTTGGGGAAAAGTGACAAACTATGGGAGCAATTATTTTGTACACTATGTTAGGTGTGAAGACTAAAAGAGAGAAGTAAGGGTTGCTGAATGAGTCACAAATGCTGTAACCATCTGTCTGCTTGTGCGTTTGCATGAGCGTCCATGTCTGCGCCCGAGCGTGCGCTCCTGTGTGTCTGTGCGCGTGCACGTGTGTGTGTGCCGTCTGTGTTTTCTCGTAGCTTACCTCCACAATATCAGAGTTGGTCCTGCTCTCATGGGGCTCATTGTACTCAGTGTATTTAAGCAGGACCTTGTCCATGTCTGTGCTGGCATACTGGAACAGCTTGTTGGTGCTGTTGAAGATGATCAGGGCAATCTCACAGTCACACAGCACGCTCAGCTCATACGCCTTCTTCATCAGGCCAAACTTTCTCTTTGTAAATGTCACCTGAGTGAAAGGAGAGAAGAAGGGAGAAGAGGGATTTGTGTTTAGTTTACTTTTGTGGCACACTTACAATCAAACTAGGCTGTTTTATCTGACTTGTATTAAGAATTTGATTATGACAAAAAAAAAAAATCCCCCACCCTCAACCGCTTCGCTTGCAATGAGAGAATAAATAGGAATTTGACACCGCAACTTTCCTCTTTAAAAATTTTGAGTTTTCAGGGAAATGGCATTAAAGGAAAGTGAAGTCTGCTAATGGTTTAACACCCACTGACTGTAACAGTCTATCCACTATACCAGGAAAAAGGAAAAAAAGAAGCTGGGCTTGCATTTAAGGAACTGAAAATACTCTGTCTCAGTCAGATAACGGTAAAGAAGGTCAGTTATTGCTTGTACATCAAAGCACACAGAGTCTCATCCTGGAACATATGTCAAGTTAAATTGTCTTTTTTTCAGATGGTCCGAATGTGTGCTTCTGCACAAAAGAAACACACACTATTTTCATCTAAAAATGAGCTGAGATTAACCGTTTTCCATGTAGCGACATTAACACTAGCTCGGTTATTGTCTTGCCCAATTAACCGAGTCTCATAGCAAATAACAAGCAGTGATATAAATAACAGATAGCTTCCTCGACCATACTTAAAGCACTTAGTCAGCGCACAGATCGTGATAACGCGCTTAACTTGAACCACAAAAAGTGTCTCTTTCCCCTCTCTCTTACTGTTCCTTCATATATATATATATATCTGTGTGTGTATGTGTGTGAAGCCCAAGACAAGTACCTTTAGTAATACAGGCACACAAGGACCAACACTGTCAAAATAGAACAGCCTTATTCCTCTATTGTTTGAATCAAAACTAGAACAGTGAAAGTGAGTTAATGCCAGTGAGCTGCACCTGGTTTCTTTTCCAAGCCATGTGTGCGCACTCTTTAGTTGAATGGGAAAAAAAGAGAAAATGCTCCACTGCCAGCTTGCCTCTCTTAACACAGCATCATGTTTCTTTCCTCCCCTTTTTTTTAATAGAACTGTCTCTTGTGTTCCTCTGTGACTGTGTGTATTATTTACATTGGAGACTTGTATTGACAAAGTTTTTTTTGTTTTTTTTTTAATAAAGAATAAATTCTGCCAGAGCTATGCCCAGCTGGTAACTAACAATCTCAGTTTGTTGATTAACTGCATTTTTGCCCATTCTACTCACTTAAGTGGGCCAAAGATACCAGATGAATTCAGAACAAATACAAGCTCAGAATACAGTTATAAGGCCCTTATAAAGAAAGCCTTGCTTGTGATAGATCCTGAATAGATTTTTTTGGCATTTACCCATCATGCCTTGCCCTTCACATTTTCTTTTTACAACTGAAAGAGGAGATAGGCTTGAATAGATATTGATAGATAGTTTTGAATTTCTTGAAACAATATCTCCCAGGATGCACCAGGGGAACGGAACATCAAACCATCCCTAACCTCCACCCTGACTTTCTCTTGCTCTGCCTTTCTACCAGGACTGGACCGTCTTATCCTGGACCTTGTCGCTGCCACCCCATTACCCCACCCCACCCCATCTTAAAGTTTTCCACTGATGTCACCGCCTCATGCCAAACTATCTCGTCAGACAACAGAGGCTGAAACCAAAGACACAGACATGCGGCGTGCTACCTCCTTACAAAGCACTGTGTCAGGTTCTATACCTCGGTACACACACGTGTGACTCACTGACGAAATGTGTAGAAAAACGCTCCCCTGGGCTCTAAATACCATGCTGACATTTATACAGGCATGCTGAAAAGTGACAAAAAAAACAAAAAAACAAGCCTCACTTTTATAGTCTAAGATCAAATGGCATCTTGTGACAATAGGATTAATTGTCATATTCAAATCACTCTGCGCTCTTTATTCACAACTGAAAAGTGAGCACCCCAAAAGAGGGTCTGCAAGCCCTACAAGAGTGAGGCTGAATTACAAGTTGTGCAGGTAAATAAGATGACAGGACTGCAGAACATAAGGTCAAGGCGTGCTTTTCAGGGACAGGACAAGCAGAGTGTTGTCTTCCCTTGGTGTTTTGATGCATGGGGCACCGGGGGCAGACGCAGGACACAGCTAGCTGGCGGCCAAGCTCCGTTATCAGCCACTCACTCAGTCACTCACTCTGCTGGGGCCATTAATGTTTCAAAAAAAAAAAAAAAAGTGCAGATGGGACGCACAGTTGGAAGGGGTGTGGGTCTCAGAGGTCCAGATCAGCCGGTCTCAAAGGTGAGGACTGCCGCGAGCTTCACCGCACTCATACAAATCCTTCAATGTACTTTTCAGAGACACGCATTCTCGGCTTCTCAGCTCAAAATGCAGAAAACAAAGAGCGGAATTCAATCAAAGTTGTCTTTAGCCTCATGCTTTAGATGAGGAACTGCGTGCAGAAGCATTTCGCACATATTATAATTTACACATAGTCTGGCTTCAACAGCACCACAGGGAAGAGAATGGGTGCGATTATGAAAAGTTTTAACTGACCAAACTATAACACCTACATAAATATCACATCACACCCCCCCGCGCCTTATCTCAACCTGACACGTACAACATGCTACCTCTAAAACACATACTACTACGCTGTGTGCATACATCCACGAATATAAGACAAATGCACGCAAGTAAACAGAGTGAATGCTTAAAGTCCGCAAAGATCTTACAAGGCATGGAGGACATGCTGATTTGCACCGTATCAATGCAGGTTTTGAAGCTCAATAGTTGACTTTTCAAGATAACTCTATTGTGACTTCCTGGCATGATATGATGTCATCTTGCAATACTTTTAGCCCATCAACGTCCAATTTGCTTATGTCACCTCCAGTCTTTCCTGTGCAGGCTTAAAACATCTCACTAGGCCCAAACAGAAGCGGTTAACAGGTACTATGAACCTGTTTTCCAAGTACTTAAAACTAAATCCATGTGAGGTGTCATTGGTTTACAGTCTTTTGAAGAAACTTGATAAAAGATGAAGTTTTGCAATATTTAAACACTTACATGCTATATTCGTAACCAAAGATCAGGACAATAAGCTTAATTTGTAACCCAAACACTAATGTACCTTACCTTGTGTTACTATTTCTAAGTTTGTATGGACTGAACAAATCATCACTTTAAAAAAAAAATCATAAACATTTACATTTGCTATACATGCAAATGGATGGATCTGAAATCTGATACATTTCTTTTACTCAATGAGTCCTCTGTCTTTGTTGTTAAAACACAAAACATTTTGTAAACCACCCATATGTCAGTGTGGGTGTAATCTTTGTTTCCTTGGTCAGTGGGTGCTGTTAGTCACATCACTATGTTAATAACAGAGAGAATGACATTACAGTGCCGTGCATGCTGGTAAAAGGGAACAGTGCGAGTATGTGAGTGTGAACCCAACTGTGTCTTTTCACAGTATATTGGTAACGAGAGTGTGAAACCTATCTTCACACACATAAAAGCACACATACAAGTACGCAGGAAAAATGCGTTGACTATTTTTGGTCATCGTTGAAGGTAAAGACCTAAACCAATTGGAATGGGACACATTACTTTACAGATGTCTTGGCATGCTAGTCTAACCATATTCAAATTCTAACCCTGACACATAAATTCTTCCCATAAAATATGCAAAAAACGAGTTTATCAGAACTCAAATCTCAGTGATGTCTCAACGTGATGCTTTCTGATTTTCATTCTTCAATAAAAAAAAAAGAAAAAGACAGAATTAGGAAGTCTGGCCTGAACCTTGCAAAGGTTGAATGAATGCATGTGCAGGGGAACCTCGCAAGTATCAGAAAGTCCAAATGTTACTTCAACAAGCTTAAGCTCCTAAGAGATTACTCAGTTATAGAAGAGATCTCGGCAACGACTACCTTCAAAAGACCCTGTGAAGGACACTAAATCATCCCCACACTTCCACAGCATCTACAAACAATTATTAAGTACTACTCTGGGCATTTATTTACATGAACTAAACTATTCGTAAACTGTACACTCGCTGCAACACACATCTTATTCACTCACCCCTATCCTCCTCCACAAACCCATCCCAGGAGAGCTTTAGACTAATGCACACACACAAACAGACAACCCAGCAACCACTCAGCTGCGTTACCATTAGCTGCCCTGTTAAAGTCTCTCTTTTGTAAATTTTTATTGAACAAATTTGAGTTAATTTGTTTTTGTTTTTCTTTCTTTTTTTTTTCTGTCGGCTTGTGAGTTGGTGTGCTATCACCAGAAAATGACTGGTGAAAAAGAAACAAAAAAAAAAAAGTAATTCAAACAAATGTATAGAAAATTTAATAATTTCTTCTCCACTTGCTGCATTTGATCTGGCTCACATGGAGAGAAACACCCAGGAAAAGCAGAGGGACACAGAGAAAGGAGGGGAGAGAGGCTGAATCTCTGCCACATGGGTGAGAGAAAGACGAGGGGAAAGACGGAGGAGAAAAGAGGGGGCGGACGCACAGGAAGCACATTTGTATGCATTTCCTCTCATAACAGGAAGAGGCCAGTGGCTTCCCCTTCACAATGGCTTCGCTTCTGCTTCCCACCTCCTGCCTGCTTCCCTGGGGGAGGAGGAGGCGAAGGAAGAGGAGGAGTGGGGAGACAGGCACCAAAAACTGCTGGTTAGCAAACCAAACATGGCCATGTGAAGACACACACATGCACACACACACACATAGATGTCAGTCACCTATGGAGCAGCGAGATTTGACTTGAAACAAACACTTATCCCATTGTCAGGGGCCGAGCAGGAAGACACGAACTTACGCAAAAGGAATAAGAGGAGCCGAAGACCTTGGCTTGAACTTTGCCTCACAGCCAAGACGCTGTTAAGACAGGCATTACGACAAAAGAGGCTTTGTCCCACCTCTAATATATGCCGTGCTCTTCTCTCTCCTCAAAAACCCCACTCGTCATCCTATCACAGGGTGCACTGTACACCGAAGAGCGGGAGAGAGTGTGGTCCAAACGTTTTGTATCTTAATCCCACGTTAGTTAAAAAATTGCGTGTGAAAATTAATGGTGATAGCTTAATAATGGCAGGTACAACCATAGATGTCTTCAAGTCCACGCCAGTTTAGATTGTTTTTCTTAGCCAAGCAAGTAATTACATCTCAGCATGTTCTTGTTTATGCTGAAAAACCGCAACTGGAAAAGGATATACCCGCTGACTAAAAAAAGGGGATGTCACATTTGCAAGGCCCAAGTTAGTGGTCAGAAAGACAAAAATAACTTTGCTGTCATCCATTGGAAAGGGTATAAACTGTCAGTGTGGCACTGAGGCCGAGGCTGTATACTTTATGCAAGGGATGCTATTTTTACTTTTAGCAGATTTTCGCAATAGGAAAATAAGTAAAAACAGGGAACTAATTGGTTTAAACTCATTTCACTTTATCTACATGTGTGTCTGATTGTTCCGGTAATCAGTTCGGAAGAAAACCACATTACCCCATTTTTTATTTTTTATTTTTATTAATAAATGAGAACATTTTGGTGAGAGTGCAAATGATCTGCAGATTACGAGCTCATCTGAAAGTTATAGATGAAAAAAAAATGAATAAAACCAAGGCCAAATAAAAAGGCTGGTGTCATTAGCAACAAACTTTTTATGGTATGCCCTCTATTTTTAATTTTTTTTACATATCCAGCAAAATATGCTTTCATTAATACACAGATTTCTTTTAATAGCTCAAAAAGGGATGAATTCCAGAGCACACAAAGGAAAGGAACTATCGAAAGCTATAACATTGATGCTTTGTAGTGGGGAGAGTGGTTAGAGTGAAGTGACGAACTGGCGGATGAGACAAAAAAAAAAATGAGCGGAAAAAATGGGGGAAACAAAGTGAAGGTGAGAGCTTAGCGAGCCCACAGGTTAGCTGAACACACGATAGAAAGGAGCGCCACTCGGTGTGGTAAACGAACGAGATGGTAGAAGGTGGGAAACAGGGAATTAGAGGAGGGGTGCAGGGGTGAGGAGCTACCCTGTGGGCCTCATTATTTTCCTGCTGTTAATGTCACTCGCACATTTTCTCACCCTGGTACTGTTGATTGGAGGGAAGAACGCTTTGTCGTAGAAACAAAAAGACCCTCTTACTACAGCGACAGCGGTGCAGTTAACGTGGCTCTCTTCACCAGAGAGATTTTTTTTTTAAAAAAACACACCAAAAAACAAAGTCACAGCATTTTTAAAGCTTCTTTTGGCCGAGTGTGTGCTGGTATGGCTGTTGTTTGGGGGAGTTGGGAGATCCTCGTGTTTTACTTCCTGTCACTGATGACCTGATACATGTTTAACCTTTGGCCTCGGGTCCCTTCCCCCATGAAACCCATATGTCCGACACAAAGACGCACACACACAAACACAATGATTCACACAAACAAGTCATCCTAAATTAAGCCCACTGAGCAGACTGGCTGGAGAGGTAACACTAATTAGAGCCAATTGCAACAAATTAGTCGATGCACAACACGGGCTCCAGAGAGATAGATGTGTTTTTAGATGTGTACATGTGCATACACATATGCGTTTGTCACTGCTGCGTTAACAAAGGCTCCAAATGAACCGTCTAAGGTGTGTGCTACGATCGGTCTACGCCCATGGTGTCGACGCGTGCGGGCGCGTGCGCACACCTGTACGTTTAACTTGTGTGCGCCTGTCCATCTGTGCACGTTTGCAAGCTGGCTCAAGAGTCTGCTCTTTGTGAACAGCCCATGAGTTTATGACACAGGGGGCTCTTTCATGTGCCCGAGGCTAGGAGAGGGTCTGAGTGGTCGGGCGGCTTGGAGCCAGGGCTCACACACTGCTGCCCACTGTCCAGCACTCCGGGCAGCCAGTCAACGCCAGGGAGGCCTGGCCCCTCTGCCACTGCTCTTGGGAAGTGTTTCGGGGCCTGGAGGTGGCAGCCCAAAGTGGCCGCCCAGAGAGAGCCAGGCCCTGTGCCCAATATGATGGTGCAGCTGCATGGAGGGCAGGGGTGAGGAGGCACTAAAGCCCTGTAGGTGGAAAGGTAGCGTTGACAGCTACACAGAGTGGTGCCACTCCAAAGAGGGCTGCGTTAGAAAGAGTGTCATAACCAAGGAAATGTTACAGTCGCTCTATATATTGTATTGAAGGACAATGCAGGAATTGCACCATATCCTGTTTTGTTTTTTATGCAACTCCCAAAACTTTTGGAAATGAATATTATGGAAAATAACAATATATTTTATTTTATAACAATATTCAAACAAGATCGTAACCTGCTAAGGCTGTAGAAGGGCTTTCAGAAACACGTAAAACACTGAAAGTATGTGAAGAATGTGAGGTCAAAAGCAACACTGCAAAAAGTCCTCTGGTGTTTATTTGGCTCAGGCTCTGGGACATTTCCTCAAAAAGGAAGTGAAAATATGTAAAGCTTGAGCTTCTGGTTTTTTTTCTTTAAAAAAGAAAATTTAAGTTTCTGTGTCTGTCTCCGTCCCTGTCTTGTGATATCCGCCTCTTCAAAACACGGTGATGTCATTTTTATTTTAGGCTGTAGGTTTTATGACATTATGCTCCACAGAACATGTGGTGCTTTCCACATGACTCGATGATATAATATCAGGAGGAATCGAAATCGCTTAAAAGCAACAATGAGTACATAATATCAACGAGCACTCTATGGTTTTAAGGATCAAAACAACAAAATCCTGCGATATATTGATTTTCTTTTCCCAATGAACCCTTTCTCTCTCCTCAGTCTCTTCTCCTGCCTCCTTCTCCTCTCCCTGTAAGTGAAGCCCGGATATCTCAGGCATCGATTTCCCTCAGGTGTCCTTCCTGTCTCCCTCTTTCTCTCCTTTTCCTCAGGAGTCGAAGAGCCCGGGCCCATTCTTAGGTGGGATAAGAGAGGAGGGCTGAGATAACAGCAAGGAGGAAGTGTGGGTGCTGCTGAAACACGATAGTTTTAGTCCTCATCTAAAACTCGGTGACCTCTTCCTTGCTCTTTCTTTGTTTCTCTGCCTGTCTGTCCGTCTGGCTCTCTCAATAACAAACAAAGATATACCATCTCACATCCTCCATACTTTTCAAAAACTGTCTCTATACATGACTCTTGGTTACACTCTTTCTTTTTATGCTGCATCTGTGATTCTGAGAAACAACATTTCTGATGTGACCTTCTTCGAGTCCAGCACGCAAACTTTCTTACACACTTCCTATTATCTTCTTGTTTCTTGCAAACACACTTGAGCTTAGTCACGACAAGGGCCAACATCTACTTCAATTACTCCCCCGGCACACTCCAATCAATTCACCGAGCCACATATGACTGTTCGAAAAAAGCACATTGTGAAATGGCTCAGAAATACTATTGAGAATGTCACGCGGTGTAGAAGTCTCAAGCAGCATTGAAACGGATTGTGTTCAGAACTATGTGTGTGCTGGTGTGTGTGTGTTTGACCTGTGATCCGGGGGCCACATTAGCAACGTATGGATCCAATTGGGCTGCCAGGAAGCTGACAAAGTGTCAGTGGTCAGCTATGCCACAGGAAGTGATCGATTGTGGGCCTCAAGGGCAGTGAGAGAGCTCTGTCTCCTGCCTGAGACAGTAGTGTCCACAATTTATTATCCCAAGTCTCAAGTGATGCCAGCTGTCGTTAGGAGGATTCTTTGACTCTTAACATTGGTTGTTGACATTTTGTTTTAAATTAATGTGTATTATTCTAGGCAGAGGAAAGCTACAGCACTTCGACTGTTACTGATTTAGCTCGAGAAAAATAGCATTTCAGTGTTTGCGTCCCAGTGTGTCATTTCAGACCATCCCGAACCCTCTGTTTGGTTGTTTGTTTATATTTTCCTCCACCCTGCCTCACTGGTGGTACCACCCTCTGCCCGGTAATATTCCACTGGCAGGGAGCTAAACAGGGTGGCATGGTGTGAGGGCTTGGGTGTGTGAAGGGTGCTTCAGTTGAGCGTAGGCTGCACCCCTCAGACTTCTCTGCGATATGCAGAATGTGCTTTAAAAATCCCAACAGTTTTAAAGCAAAATCCATTTTAGGAAACACTGTACACTCCTCGTGTCCTCACACTGGATTGTTAGATTGAAGGGAAACAAACATTGCTATTCTAAGCCGATGGAACTCCTCCACCAAAAGCAATATCTGTACTTTCCCTGCAAGGACTGCTCTGTCTCCCAGCTCGCATATTGCCCAGACTCCCAGAAACCTTCATTGTTAAGAGCTATATGGGGTGTAGGGTGTTTCTCCTTCCTCCCTCCTCCACCCTTTTCTCCCCCATCCTCATACTCATCCATCCTCCCATCCCCCCGGGACTTACCTGTCTGTTGCGTTCATCCATAATCCGCGTGATCTGAATCTTTTTCCTCCCCATCGTCCCCGTCTCTTTCTTTCTCTCCTCTTTCTAAAGAACTTCAAGCTTTCTTCTCTCTTCTCTTTCTTCTTCTCTTCTCTCTCTCCCGTTTCTCTTCACGTTTCCGCTCTTCCTTTGCTTTGTCTTTTCTTCTTTTTTTTCCTGCTTTCTATTTGTTTCAATCAACTCAAAGATTCCAGCATCTGTACCTGCAAGACAGAAGGGAGGGGTCGGGGAGAATAAGCATTAAATGAAATGAAATATGGCAAAATACTGAGAGGGAAAAAAAAATAATAAAAGTGGCATCGTGGCAGCCACAAGGGAGGGTGAAGAAAGACAAAGAATCTGTCAACAATGTTGTGAGAACCGCTGTGTTTTTCACTGTCGATATCATGCAAATCAGTTTTTGCATTTTTTTTTCTTCCTAGGCACCGACTATGAGAGGAGACAGCACTGTCAGGATCTCGCCTCGTTCACAGAGAGTTTGACAGTGTTTTGGAAGTGCCGCTAACTTAAACGCTCTAATCACCAACACTGTAACATTACCTCCACACTGAGAAATACATTTTGTTTCTTCCCATGAAACTGCACTGTATTGACAGTGGAGCTGCCAGCCGCGACTTTTTTCTACTCTATCTGCAGCTCATCTCCAAAATGGCAGATGCGATATGCTAGGATAGTATACAGATGTAAAAAACGAGGACCGAAGAGTGTTGCCATGTTCTGGTAAAACAAAGCCTTTGTAAAAATAAGTAAAATGTGGCAACATAACAGTTTGATACACAATGGTTTCTTGGAGAGAAAAAAAACCTTGCATGTCCGGAAGATATCGGAGTAGCCAATAAACGCGTGCACAGTTTAATGTGTGTTCCAGAGGTGCAGGCCAGCAGCTGAAGCGCCGGACTGAATGGGCGGAAGAGCAGAGTTGCGCTCCGAAAAGTTTGCATGACTGAGCGACTGTGTGTGTGTGTACACGTGTGCATGTACATCTGTGTGTGTGCGTGCGCATAACTGTGTGCTCTTGTGTGAGCTTGGCTAAGCCAGAGCTCCAGTGCATCTCTCCAGAGTGCTAAAGTAGGCCAACCCAATCTATCTCAGGGAGGAGCAGAAGAACTGTTGTTGTGTTTTCTTTTGACAGTAGAGGTGATAACGTCCCTCGTTATGCAAATGAGCATCCCATTATTTAAGCTCAGTGCAATGCAGGGGAGCTGTCAACGCCGTCACATGAAAAAAAAAAAAAAATCCTCCATCTACCCTGCCTTTTTTTCTCTACTTTCCCCTTCTTCTCTCTTCTCTCCTTTCTGAACCAGATTTCCGGCACCTGGCAGCACAAGCATCAGACATTGATGTGGAAGACGACACCGCTTCACCAAAAGACATGTCAGTCTCAGTCTCTCTCTCTATCATTCTCTCTCTCTCTCCTTTTTCTCAAACACCCTTGCTCTTTTCCTCACTCTCTCATATTCTCTCCTTTGCGCACTCCTGCACACATACCTGCACATTGTAATGCACTTCCTTTCCTTTTTTTTTTTTTTCCCTCCTGCTAACCTGAATCCATGTATTTATTGAGTAACATGCACAAGAAAGATCTGAACCCCTCAGGTGAATGCAGCACATTGCTATGCACTTGACCTTTTTGTGCTAGAGAGTAGGACATTGATAATGAAAACTCATAATAGAGACATCCAGGGATGCAGTGGCTCTTAATGACAGACCAAGGCCTGTAGCGCAAGCAAGGCTGTAGCTATCTTTTCCATTTGCAGCATGAAATGCAGGCTCTGTGCTTTATTCACGACTCAAAATTTAGAATCCTGCATTATAATTGAGGCCTTCTCAGTGTATGTATGCGAAATTTAGTAAGTATATTACATTGTATTAAAGAAACAGCATTGCATTGATTTTTATGGATTTTATAAGATTGCCTGCCAAAAATGTCCATCACACAAAAACTGAAAAAAGTGAGACAATACAGTCTCAACAATAATGAAATGCATGACAAAAAACTTCCTGAGATGATGGTTTGGAATACACCCACTCATGGAAGAACTGAGATACGAACATAAATGCGTCATTTGGCAGTTAGGACAACAGCCGGACTGCACCATCATAATAATAACAAGATCTAAAATAACTCTGTGGCAGCTCTGAAGAGGCTATCCAAAACATTTTAGCATTGCTCTGTGCAAACACACCCATCCGTAGACAGACACACAAAGAGCTGCCCTGTGGAAGAAAACAAAAAAGGATGTTGTCAGACAAACTAGGATTACAAGCCAACACTAAGGCGCTTGGCACAAGACAGCCAGACAAGGATATCAATCAAGCCAGCGTACCTCAATCACAGGCTGACAGCATCATCCCCTCCCAGTCTTTGTACTCAACACTACCCAGTCCGGGCATCGCTCCAAACAAGGAGGCGTTACCTTCATGATCCCTGCCTCCTGGCCTGCACCTCCTCCGTGTTCCTCCCACAGCACGCTGAGCAGAGTTGAACCTCTCAATGTCAACACCCGCTGGGGCAACACCTTAGGCCTTACGTAACATTACCACTAAGATTAAGCTCGTGTCCTGAACATTTAATCCCCGCTTTTGGCTCTGAGCACCAGCCAACGCTCCCTGAGGTGAAGCTCTGCTGCTGCTTACCCCCATGTTGGTGCCTCTTAACTTCACCCAGCCTCCTTCCCCATCCCATCTTTTTCCTGCTTCCTTTACCTCCTCCTACACAACAACAACAACAACTCAAGTTGCCCCCCCCACTTCCCCTCCCCACTCCTGCCACCACCCCTCACTTTTCCTCACACCCACCCCCGTCCCTTATGGGTGCCAGGCAGCTCCTGGGTAAAAAAAACAAAAAACAAAACAAAAAAAAGAACAAGTGCCCACTTCCCCATTGCGTTCCCTTCCCCAGCGCTGGAGAGATCATCGGTTAACTTAACAGATTAGCAGTGAATCACTAAATCCAATTTAGCCTCGTGACGCCAAGACAGTGAAGTGGAGGGGAAAGCAGGAAATAAGCACTGCTTAGTGAACGTGGTCAAGTGGCACAGCACAGTTGTCCTTGGCAGGAATGTCTTGCAAGGCAGCGACACTGACATCTGACCTTGACAGGGCAAAGAGGATGAGAAAGAAACAAAACAAAAAAATGAAGACACATGGTGCAAGACAGCAGAAAAAAAAAACCAACCTAGCAAACTTGCACATTAAGCCAATTTACTAATCCCGAAGCAGGCAAATAGGGAATGAATCTGTGGGAGATGAAGAATAAACAAAAGAGCTCCGTTATACTCTGTAGACTTGTTGACTAGCGGTATGCCTGTATTCACACTAATGTGTGGTAACTGGAAGGAGGCCGGGGTGGGCAAATGCTAAGGTCAGAGGGCACGCCGGCACCGAGCGTGCTGAAGGACGACGGTTATGCCTCTGCCGGTTTTATCGTATCTTCGAGCTTTAAAGGTGACAATAAAAAGAGAAGAAGAGCGCTGGGAGAAAAACAGAGAAATGGAGAGAAGCATAAAGAGGGATCTTTTGAACAGGCACCAGGCCTCTCCAGGGGGAGGGGAAGAGCTGTGCCCACGACCCTCCCATCTGTTAAGCAGACGGATGGAGAGAGAGAGAGAGAGGGAGAGAGCCAGAGAGGGAGATATGAAGGTTGGGGGAGGATGGGAGAGATGGAGAGAGAGGAGCAATTCAGCACATAGATCTAATGAGCATTTTCTCTCTGTGTCTCAGAAGTGTAGCTGAGAGGACAATGAGAACATATACACTCAGTGCACCACAAGGCTTGATTCTAGGTCGCCTCTCCCAAGTGTTTAGTCACTAAAAACTAATATACAGCACATGGCACTTTTTCACATTCTAATAGACGTCTGTAGGGTGCTTGTTAATGTGGCTTTGTTATTGAGGACATACACTGAAGATGACTTCTTTGAATCAGGGGGCAACAAAAAACAGGAACTTTACTTTAACTCATGCTCAGGGCTAATTCATCATTTTGAAAGACAGTTTCAGTTTGTGTTTTTTTTCCCCCTTTTTCTGTGAATGAGGTGGATGGACGTGGCAATAAATAAGGAGAAATGAACACACGATCCACTTCCAAGAACTAAAGTTGTGCACAACCATCTGTTGAGATTATTTCTGCATTCAGAGAATTTCTGTGGGAAACGTAAAAACAAAACTGGGGCAACTGTAAATGAACTGTGTGCACAAGTGCAATGCCAGTGTCCTCCGTCCCTCATGGGAAATGTGGTTGTGAGAATTTGAAATAACATCTTACACTGCAGTAAGTAAACCTTTTAGGAGGTGTATGGTACATTTAAATAAACGCTCTCGTTTTTAAATAAACTCCCATTTCCTGGAAGACGAGGATAGAAAAAAAAATGTTTTAATACCATTTTACACAAAACAATCTCAACGTCAGTACACACTCGCGGTGCTCGATTTGTACGCGAGTTTTTCTGTTATGTAGGAAACTCTTTTTTTTGGCTCAGAAACTGTTTTCATTTTTTCAGTGTAGATTTTTCGGAGGTTTCTTTCTTGTGTTTTTGCTGCAGCTATGTGCATGTTTGCATGTTAAATGTGCACTTTGTGCATTTGTACTTTTGATTTGGAAATAGCAGCAGACAACACTTTATCTTCTGTAAGGCGAGAAGAAGGCATAACAGCAGCAGAAATGAGAGGCGGGGAAGAATCAAGCAAAGGAGCAAGTTGATGGCTAGGCAGGATGGAAAAAAAATGTGTATCAGGTCTCATTGTGCCTCTAATGTCATTACAGGCAGTGACTCCTCTATGTGGCACGCCACACTCCCCATCTGTCAGAGCAAGATAGGCAGGGTGACGAATGGCTATCACTGCCACCCCCCCTCCCTCCCTCCAGAGTCTGTATCTTTTTTTGAGTGAAGGGGGAGGCGAGTGACCTAAACCTGGGCGGTAGCCCACACGTAGGTGGGCCTCTATGGTTTTGAATCTCAGCAGATATTAGGGCTAATTTAACATGTTAGCAGCTAAAGAGATTAGCAACATGTACATCTGGGGATTAGAGTGATAGCGGTGGATCATCTTATAATGTGTTCATTCCTTTTTTTCTTCTTCTTTTTTTTTTCCCAGTGAGCATTCGAGCTAAACTTGAATCTGAGAGGCTGCTGTGTAAGTGTGCACGTATATGTGTGTTGGAGGATATGTCTTCACCTGTCTCTCTCTATTAGATCATGGT